TAAACTCATTTTAAATCATATAACTCAGATAAACTCATTTTAAATCACGAAACTCAAGTAAACTCATTTTAAATCACAAAACTCACATAAACTCATTTTAAATCACAAACTCACAATTTGCTTTTTCCCCCTTGCCTACTACAGTGGAATGAACCAGAATCTTAGAATTATTTACCTTCCAGGTAAAGTCTTGCAATACGAACTCATGAGTAGATAACAAATAATTTAATCCGTCTGTTTTGCGATCACGTATATATCTATAATACTGAAGAAAAAGACAGATAAATCCAATTACCAACAATAGTGGCGCCATTATTCAAAATTTTGTATATATAAAAATCAGACTAATGCTTTTTAAATTTTTTTTCTTGAGAATCTCATCATGAATAGGACTAATAACGTAATTGTCTATGTTTATAAAGCTCACTTAATCATTATTTTGATTGTATTACAGTTATTTTACAGAAAAAAGAATATTTTCATATTACAGTAATTTTTACTCACAAATTTGATCTCTTTTAAGTATCAGAACAAGATGAAAAATGCTGACTTTTCAACCATGTTCGTTCAAGTTAAAGAAAAACTGTACGAGAAAAATAGAATTTTGTAGTTGTACATGACATTTTCATACTAGCACGAACTTCATAGTATTGGTTGCTCTGGAATTACACCTAAATTTTTTTATTAATATATGAGATAAGCCTAGATTAGTGTATGCCCATGTCAGTAGCATCCAGTTCGATAACGTCCTTATAATAATTCGTTGAAGTACATATATTTATTTATTTGTCTATTTATTGTTGGAATTTTATGCTTTCCAAAATAAACTGACGTTTCTAAGACCGATCAGAATATGTGTTTGAACATGCGGAAACTAAAATCAAGTTTCCACATTGTGCTTAGAAATCTTTTCGAGATATTTCAAAGGTAAAACAAATGTATCGAATCTTCTCTTTCCATAAATGAATCACTTGTAAAAATTTCTCGGAATCTCTAATTACATTTTTTATGCGTGACGGTATAAGAATCTTTGTAGTACAGAAACTTATTTTGCATCTTTCAATGAGTAACTCTCAGATGTTTTTAATATCAATCTGAACTTAACTTGATCATTTTCTCCAACAAAAAAATTTTTTCGAGCTAGCACAAAAGCTTTAATTTTCCTTTATTGGTAAAATAGATGAGTATTACTGTTAGAAAATCACTCCTCTCTGGCGTTCATTAGTCTAAGACAAAGTTGGAGGTGTGCTATTTGTGGAAAACTCTGTCTTACCTGGACATAATTTGTTGAAAATAGCAATTATTCCATTTTTCTGAAAGTCATTAAATGGTCGTTGATCAATGATAATAGAACGATAACATAAAGCATGAAGATCTCGTCTAAGACGTTCAGAAATATGTGGTTCAGAAGAAGATGTCGGTGGCCGTTTAATAATCAAATCATGTTTATCGTGTTCATGAATCAAATGGTAACGAATGGTCGACGATAGCACAAGTATAATCACATAGTAGGCATAAAGCCATTTTACCATCATCACTTTTTATAGCATATAGGCAAACTTTCAATGTTGATTTACGACCAGCAATATTAGTAGGCAATAGTAAAGTTGATGTTGAACCGGTATTACTAGATGATGAAGTTGTATTATTGCTGTTGGTGGATGATGAAGTTGTGTTGTTGCTGTTGTCAGATGATGATGTTGTGTTGTTGTTGGATGATGATGATGATGATGATGATGTTGTGTTGTTGTTTAATAATGATGCTGAGTTGATGGTATCTGTTAATGATGTTAAACTGTTATTATTATGTGTTAATTGCTTTGGATTATTGTTATTGGAATTTGATGATGAAAAGACACTAGTTGAACGTGTTGTTGTTGTTGAACTATCATAATATTCGTCATTACCAAGAATCTGAAGAACGCGAACCGTTTTTGATCTTTTTTGTTTGGGTTTCATGATAATTTTTTCTAAACATAAAAAAAGTTCTGTATACATTCCATTGAACAGGTATAATTCAGTTGTAGCTTGAGAGTTCTTTTGAACACACTCGTTGAATGAGCATTCACACAGTATTAATGCTTGAAAACGATGCCAGTATCATGATTTTCGAGTACTCGTTATGTATACTTCTGTGAAAATCTTAGTGTCGGAACATAACAAACAAGTCCTCGCTGTAATACTAACTGTTTTGTAAGTATTCTAATCTTTTATTTAAAATATTCTAAGAAATCTAACCTACTGTTTCAGACGAATAAAATGGTAGGTTTAGGATTTTTCAACAAATACGTGTTTCTAAGTGGTTTACTTTCTGAAGTTCATTAAAGATAGTATATATTCATTTTTGATTCCATTTTGTTGAGGAAAACAGAGACACTCTTCCAATGTGGATAATGATCTAATAGCATCGCTTCCTCTCAAGATCCGTCTTTCGGTGTATGTGCGAGTCAATGTGAATCGGAGCGCGGATATTGTATCTATTAATCGTTCTTACTCGTCGATATTACATTTTTGATGTTCAACTATTCGTAATCATATGTTTTCGCCGTTTTGAGTTTCAAAATCCAAGATTTTTAATTTTAGTATTTTTTTCACAACTTCTTTTTTTCGATTGATTGGGTTTCGAGATCTTTTATAGTTATTTTAAAGAGATTACAGCACATATTACATTGGATACTCATGGAATTGATATATATGAGACTTTCTAGAGTATACAAAGAGGCTAACGGTACATGGAACTTGTTGAGCAGTTACACGCATAATGTGCCTACATATGCTAGAAATTCTGCTCACTTGATTAATATTTCATCGCAGAAAGCTAAGCAGTTTACAATAATAGAATTATTAGAACATGTCAAAATACGAATTTTTGTTTAAGAAAAAATACGCTACCGATTTTGGAGCTCAGAAGGGAGTAAATTACAACGTTTTTGTTCTGAAAAATCGAATACTAATTTTATTAAACAATTAGATAAGTCAGAAATTGAATCTCAACGTTAACGCAAGTGTTAACAACAGCTATACGAATACAAGCTTACAACGATATGCGTAGAAGAAATCTAAACGAGTTTCGTCGTCAAATTTGCGTTTAGATATATCAGATAAAATTGATACGACGGCTATAGAAATTGAATTAAATGTTTTGCTTCACTATTCGAAAAATGTTTAAAGCAGCGACGGAGAAAAATACGAGACTTGAATAAAGTTGGTTTCTCTATAATTCTGACTTTGATCGAAAATGACATGATAGAAATCAAGTTGAGGATCTAAATGACAGCGACCATTAGCAAACAAAAGTGGAAGTGATTGTACTAATGATATCAATTTTTGTCAACTGTTTCTACACCCTGGCAATCACTAATATGTTATCAATTGATCGCAATATATCGAAAGAATAAGTAAATCGTTAAACACGAGAAATGACCATTTTTCAAAGTTTATTTTACTAATTTTCGCGATAAATCATCGTTATTCAGCTCAGTTTAACCCTATTATATTAATAGTTTATTTAATGGTATATCTCGCAACTAAGCCTTGACTAATTTATTAAAAACTGCCTTTCGTTGATTATAGTTAATAAACATTTTTATTATCAATCTTTACTCGTAAGTCGTGTTGCATATATAAAACATATTTTTAAAAAGTTTAAAAAAATAACATAATATGTGGTTTTTCATAGATAAATGATAAGAACATT